AGTGCTTGGCTTGCACAGACATTGATTCAGCCAGAAGGTAATAAGACTATAGACTCACAGTTAAAGCACTGCCACATGAGAATAGGATGCATATCTCCTAATTCTATGCATCTACAAGTCAGCAATTGATGTGTGAGCTAGTTGTCCTTGGCTGTTTTTACAGTTGCAGAGAGGAACAGGCAACTTTAGAGTATGACTAACCTCTTTCCAATGTAAACATCTGAAGTGACATGAATTCTTCTAAACAAGATGAACTCTGTCTTAGATGGCCTTACTTTATTATAGAATGTAAAAAGAGCAGCTCAGATATAGAGTTCTAAAGCATGCCATTTCAAATTATTCTTTCCTGTTGCAATTAACTTTATTTATGCAAATAGATCACCAAAACCAGGAGAATTAAAATTTCCTGTCTTCATTTTAACCCCTTCTAAGTTTATTTAAAGTCTGTAACACACTTTTAGTTAATAAGATTCAAGTCTTCTCAGGCAAAGAAATAAACAGAACTTAGATAAGCCACATTTCATGTCCTAGATTTTTGACGTCACTGGTATGCTTTAGGTTACTCTGGAGTGGGAGGGGAATAGGAATAAAAATTCACCTTCAGTAGGTTTGGGAACTGAGAAGTCTACCACTTCTTTCCAACCCAGCAGCTAGAAGCAGCCTGAGAATTCAACTTAAACTGCATGACCTCATTCAATGGAGGCTCATTTTTAACTGTATTGACAGAATGCAAATGAACCTTTCTATTCTCAGGCAGTCTTATAGAACCATAGAATCATTAATGTTGGAAAAGACCTCCAAGGTCATCTGGTCCAACCATCCTCTTACCACCAGTCGCTCAATAAACCATGTCCCTAAGCACCACATCCAACCTTACCTTGAACACCCCCAGGGACGGTGATACCACCACCTCCCTGGGCAACCAATTCCAATGCCTGATTACTCTCTCTGAGGAGAAATGTCTCCTTGTTTCCAACCTGAACCTCCCCTGAAGCAACTTGAGGCCATTCCCTCTTGTCCTATCACTAGCTACCTGCGAGAAGAGGCCAACCCCCAGTTCGTCACACCTTCCTTTCAGTTAGTTGCAGAGAGCAATGAAGTCTCCCCTGAGCCTTCTCTTCTCCAGACTAAACAACCCCAGTTTCCTAATCGGACTTGTGCTCTGGGCCCTTCACCAGCTTTGTAGCCCTTCTCTGGATATGTTCCAGGGCCTCGATGTCCTTCTTGTACTGAGGGGCCCAAAGTCTCCTCTGTTGTAATGCTTCTCATATACTGATTCATCCACATGCAAATAAGCCTGTACCTGCAGGACATCCTCTCATACCATCCATCTTCATATATCCAGGACAGCACTCATATAAGACAGTTCTGTGGAATATAAATGAAAAACATAATTAAGTAACATACAGGACAACTGTACACAAATTTCAGCTCATAGCCTTGTCTTTTTTTTTTTTTTAATTTTTCATTATTAATTTTGCACAGCTAAGTATACATTCTTCTGACATTTGTGGCCTTTTTATCATTTGACCTATTCTGTATACATTACAACTTAGTTGTTTTAGTAAATGCAGAGCTTTTGAATTTGCAATATGACTGCAGTCATTAAGTTTAAGTGATAGGAGGGAACATGGGAAGGAATGTCGATATCATGCAGAGTTATGAAAAACCATGTAAATAAAATAGCAGCTGAAGAAAATCAATTTGAAGGGTCTATTTTGAAAAGATTAAATGGGACTGAGGAAAGACAAAAAAAAAAGGTAGCAGGGACAGTGAGAGGAACTGTTATAAGCTGGGTTGTAAAAGGAAATAAAAAAAATAAACTGAAAATAAATTTAAATGACAAAACTTTATGAGGTAATCTGCATTCTGGATATAGGAACTTAAAGGGTACTGAAGAAGAAGATTCTGTGGATTGTATGGTGAAAGAAAGTGGGATGGCAGAGCCCCAGTGTATCAAAGAAGACTTTGAAGAAGCTCAGGAATGAGGGAGAGAACTAATTAAGAATAGATATAAAGCAGGTCATAGAAAATAAAATGACTAAAGACAGAATGGCTGGACTTGAGGGAAATTTCCCTGGTAAATATATTAAGGATGAAAACCAGATTGTAACAAACCAAGAACAGGGTTAAAAGAGCATGCCATCACAGTATACATAAAATTTATCAATAGAACAGACTAAGTGTTATATAATGATATCAATAAAATATACCCATTTTTGAGCATGTATAAGCTATACAGAGCAGCAAATCAGGGCTAACTGATAATTCTGTATTTTAACATTTAAATTAGCTCTGAAGTCAATAGGATATAATGTCTTCTTAATTAATATAACAGAAACAAAAGCTCTACCATAGCTTTGCTTGACAATTCTCTCATAAGAAAGTGCAAACACTGAAATTCACAGAGTTATCACTGAGTTGATTTTGGCCCTTACAGGCAGGGAATATCAACAAATAATATCAGGTCTAAATTATATAGACCTTATCAAGGTCTAAAGCATATTTTAAACTTGCTGACTTTACATTTCAGATATTTCTTTTCAAACTATGGTACACTGGGAATGACAAGGAAAATTTGCCATCATAGTTTTACATAAAAGTATTATTTTTATATCTGTGGCTGATGTTGGCAGTGTTAAAAGAGTTCTCAACAGTAATTCCTTGAAGACTTGTGCTGAGTCTTTACTACTGCATTCCAATTTTTAAATTGATGACTCTTCAGCGGGAGTTGAATAAGCTTCTCTCATTTTTCATAAGCTAAAGTTGACAAACATTAACCACAAACTCATTAAACTGAACAGCTTACTCAAATGAAAAGTTGGACTTAAGAACTTCACTATCTAAACTACTAGAAGAGATTTAAAAAATGAATGTAGACTCGAAGATCAATAGCATTACAGAGCATTATTTTAAAAGTCAAGTTTGGAATTCCATAATTTACTGTGGTTTGATAGAGCTGTTAAATAAATAAATATTAGAAAACAACAACAACAACCAAACAAAACCTATCATTTCTATTCTGTCATAAACACATATGTACATGACATTTTCACATTTCTGGCATGTTCATCTGTTTAGCAGACAAGCCATATATTGAAAGTATTTCTACAGTTCTTAGTTTGTTTCTTTCTGTAGGGCAATTCACTGAATGACTCTTTCCTAGGAATACAAGATGAAGAGAGTTTAAGCTACAGATTTACTAATTAACAAGGAAATTAACCTTATACCCTTCCTCCTAGTTGCATCCTTGTCAGAAGCTAATAAAACAAGTCACCTGACTTCTGCAACAGGAGTCAGAATGTTTGTCCAACTATGTGAATTGCTTTGTCATGAGAAAATTGTTCTTTTCCACTGAATAGAAAATTCTCTACCCCACCCTCTGAGTAGCTATAAGAGACAGCAGTCTTCATTAGCTTTTGGAGAAGCAAAAGAAGTTGAGTTGCAAGTATAGCATAAGATATGGAAAGTTTTTTCCTCTTAACATACCCAACAATTAATGAAGGGCAGAAAATTTGCTGAAGAACATGATTAAGAAAGATGTTTCTTGACTCAAGCGTTACAAGATCAGTGCCTTATTTACCATGTAGCTTGTTATGTACAACCAAGGCTTTTTTCAGTCATCAAGGGTTGCTGTAAATTCCTACTAATCATTATTGATATTCCCTTATGGTTGACAGCAATTAGAGATGATTCTGTGAAAGCTGATGTATCAGATGTGCTCAAAATGTAGTGAGGAGGACAGAATGGAAGAAGAGGGGTCCATAGAGAGAATTCCAAGATAACTTCAGAACAAGACATAACTTGATGCAAGATGCATTTCCTCAGCATCACTCATATACACAGTACACGTGAGAAGTGCCATCTTACACTGTAAGTCATCCTCATCTGTATCACCCTACTAGCTCAGTATAAGATGGTGTCCATCTTGCTGTTGTTGCTTTTGTATTTTTTACTACCCTCCTGTTCCTAACGCATCCAAGGGAATATATTCCAAAGGAACAGAAGATAGAGATAGACTATTTTATGTCCTTGTTATTCTTGGTTAACAGAGCAGTTTTCAGCTTATTCAGATGAGTTCTGTGACTCATCCCTTTCTACTCCTTGCTGGCATGGAGATAAAATACTGTCTAAAAACAGTGGAAAGCTTTCTGGTCCAACAGACTTTGTTTTTAGCAAATCTTTAAGTTGTATCCCTATTAGAAATTTACAGCAGTTGACAGGAAATGTAAATGTAAAAAGCTTTCTTAAATAAACATTTTATAGATCATATATACATTCATGAATGGCTTGTTAACATAGAGATATCAGAGATATTGACTTGAGAAGAGCCATTGTCCTTTGGATTACTGTTCTTACTAAAGTAACACCTTTAGTCAAATCTCCATCTATGCTTTGTGAACATAATATAAAAATCCAATTAAGAGCTAAGACTAAATTATAACAGATGTCCTATTACAGCCACACACACACAAAATAAAAAGGCCAGTTCTACCTATGACTCTATTTAGTTTCATACATACTGTTTTCCCGTTCTAGACTTCCTCTCTGAGTACTTACAATGGTAGGAGTGTTAAAAGAGGATGGAGATACTGCTTCTCACTGTCTGCCATTGGTTGGCTGCAGAAGGTTTCCTGCTTAGTGCCTTATGCTAGCTCTGTCAACTGTTTTTCAGTTTATGTTACTCTAAATTCTTGTCAGAGAATAGAACAGAGTCATATGAGTTCAAACTGTCTATTTCTTCAAATTACTTCTCCTTACACTTCAAGCTATCTCTCACTACACAAATCATTTTACTTCTGGAGCTTAGTAAAGTAATGAGTTCCTTCTCAGATTTGTGCTGAGAGCAAACTTTTGCTCCTGGAAAGACACAACATCTATCTAGGAATAAAACCACAGGAGTAAGTTGGTTTCCAAAGCTGACTTTGAGAATATCCAAATTTCAGTCTAAGTCATTTTCAGGAAATATCCTTCTTCCTAACGTGTCTGTAGTGGAATAGTATGTAATGCCAAACAAATCAGTGGTATGGCAGACTTTTCTCAAAAGGTGAAATATTTTGGATGACTTGCAGCATGTCCACTGAGGAAGAAAGGAAGTCGGTATTATAATGCCACCTGGAGGAGAAGATTCTGATAAAGACTATAAACCTATGGGTACTGAAGGAACTGAAGGCAGAGATGGGGCAAATGACCACACACAGTCTAGATTGACTGAAAATTGTTCATTGTTATAATTTTTAATTACCCAAACTTTCTGGATAATTTGTATGAAAAATTGATTCTACCCTGTCTGGAATAGCTAAGAAAAACAAAGCTAAATTCAAAATAGGAGAGACTGGTCAGGATTCTAGACAGTACATCATATTTCAGAGGAAATTCTGAGGATTTAAAATAAGCAGATTGCTTCCCTTCAAAGGAAGTTTGTTGTGATTTGTGCTACTACCACTCTAGCTTAATGCTGTTACTTTCTTTCATATCCTTAAGGAAAAAAGTAATTAGCAATCCAATAAAGTTTACAATAGCAGAAAACTTAGGGTGATAGCTTGTTCCATGAAAATCATATTTTCTTTAGTTCAGGAAGGGCCATGGTATCATACTTCATGTCTAGACTTCAAAGCTGTGTCACTACTTGAAAGGCAAGACTGTGGTGGAATTTATGCCTCATTGTATTGTAAATGAAATTAAATTCCATTAACCCATGTTACACTGGCAGAGAAATAAACACATTTTCTCAGAAAGACAATGGGAGAAAACTTCCTCCTCCAACATCTTTCTTCAGTCGTTTCCCTAAGGGTCCTTTCCAATACTGTGTTATGACCTGTAGTGTCTTTCGGGAATCTCAAAAATGCAAAGCCTCTGACACCCAACAGGAGTACTAGAAATCACAGTATAAGTCTATTTCAGGTCTTTGCCTGACTACTGTCTACAAATTCCAGTCTGATTTGAACAGTGAAAAAATCACTGTATATGGAGGTATTTCGCCCACATGGACAATCATGGAGTTGTAATCAGTTTTACATTAAAACGTATAGGGATCATGCTTAAGAAGAACTGTGAATAAGATTATTTTATAAAGGGAGCCATCGTTGGCTTATGTGATCAATACTGTTAATCATTATTTTTCTTCTATACTAACCTCCTTTAAGGAATCCTTTGGCCTGGAAACAAAGAATCTTTCTTTCACTTTTCATTAACATCTGAAACAGTGATTGAGGTTATTTAGGTACGTTTTAAACACCTATCTTACTTTTAAAGGAGTTAAGTTCCTCATGCATGTAATATGCACCTTGTATCAATGTAACTTAATATCTATTTCTTAGGGCACATAATCTCTGAGTGACTATTAAAATTGTGTACTTGAACATTACACAGATATGTGGAAGATTCTTTACGGGCTTTCAATATGAGACTCCTGATATCACACAGTTGCAAATGAAGCCTAGACTCCCTGTTCTCTTGAGCTGTTCTGAAAATGTCATCCCAAACCTATCTGGATCCTGTAAGAGAACAATGGCAAAGCAGAAACAATAACTTCCTTTGACAACTGCTGGGAAAGTTATCCAAGCGATTGTGTAACAGCAAGAGAAAATGTGGTACACTGGAAAAACATTAGTTTAATGCATTGGGTAAGCAGTGTCAGTTGCTGTTAAATTAACTAAATTTTAAACATGACAAATGGGGCAGACCAAGTTCTGGATTGGAGTTTTTGTGTGTGTTCTTACCCTGAAACCATTCTGTGGTAGATGCAGAGGTAGCGACCAATACTACTGACTTTTTTTTCCACATGAAAAGGCAATGGTTTGCATTATCAGAAAAACTAAAAAATGAAATTTATATACAGATTCCAAAAGAATGTCAAACCCACCCAGACTTATTTTGTGTCCTCAAGTATATATATATATACACACATATATATATATGCATATATATATATTTTTTAATTTTTTTTCCTTTGTGGAAAGATGTGGTCTAACCACTCATCTCTGCTGGATAGTGTTGTGTTCTTTCCACAACTGGCTTCTTAGATCCCCCTGCATTTTTTGGTAGGACACTTAACCTCTCCTCATGTTTAAAAGAGAGATACAAAAACTTAACTCAAATAACTATTCCTTAAACTAATGATTTGAAGCCCATTCAATTTAAAAAGTGCTACATACCATGCTGTCATTTTCATGCCTTTTGTGATTATTTTTGGCAGCAATCATTGAATCAGTTACTTGAGTGGTTTTAGAGGTGGTTTTAGGGAAAGGGATGCTGTAACACTGTAAAATTATGAAGTTCATTATTCCTGCCTCTGCTTCTGAAACAAGGATTTTGTTTCAAGATTTTCACTGAGAAAATAAGAACTTTCTAATAGTACATTATCCCATTTCAATAAATGTTTAGAAACAGCAGATACTTACGCTTTCTTTCCACAGATGGCTCCCTGGTACCAGTTTCTGCAGGTGCTGAAGTATTTCTTTTTGGTTCCCATAACTTGCTGAAGGGCACAGACATTTGGGCTATGGGTGGGAGTGAGAAACATTTTAAAAAGGAATTTTTGTTCATATTTGGGAAAGCGTTATATAAAATAGCAGCAAACACAGTTCCTACTGAGCAAGAGTAAGAAACCAACATCTGGGTTCAGTTGCCAGGGCAGGTGTGCATTGAAGCAACTACAGTGCAAGCTCCTGGGACTACCCAGCTGTGTTCCTTGGCAAGTCCACCCTCCTGGTAGGGACAGATGATCCCCCTCTGCTCTGTCCTGACCCTCTGTCTCAATATGCCTTGCATTTCTTCCTTCCTCCTGGGAAGTGAATTAATTACAAGCCACTAGGGACTGAGCTGTGAATACCATCAAGCTCTTTTTATTAAAGTTTTTTTTTTTTCTTGCACACATCTGTGCAGCTGAAAGTCATGGGGAGATGGTGAAGAGAAGTGACTGGTTCTTTATGTAAAAGGGAACCCTGTCTTCTGTAAATCAATCAACTATTTTGATTACAAACCTTTTGGAGTACCGCAAGCACCTAAGTAAACATTCTGGGAATTACTGGGGACCAAAGGGTAATTGGCATGTAAATAAAAGGAGTCACAGATTTCAAACAGAAAACTTTTTCTTAGCATGGTAGTGTAGAGGAATTTCTTAAGAGCAAATTCCATGGAGCAAAGGTGTTTTGTCACTAATTCATATACTTTTACAGTACAGAAGTTCATCAGTTCAAAAGTTAGAACACATGCTTTACAACAATGGGAAGCCAGACAACTCTTTCTGTTCAAAACACACACACACACAGAGGGAGAGAGAGAGAGAGAGAGTTCAATAAGAAGGACAGGATGGTGAACAATTCTTTTCACAGAATGTTTTTTTACTTAAAAGACTGAAAGAAAATACGTTTAGACACATGCATTTCCCTGACACCAGCTGTTCAAATTAGTTCCATGTCTCTGAGCAGACTGGCTTGTAAGCATTGTCTTCTGGACACCCTGCTGAGCAGCTTGCTGCATTACTCTAGCAGGAGCAGAAGTTTTACAAAGGACTCCTAGTGTATTTTCCCGTGTCAGAAAGTAGAGCTCATGATTTTGATTAGGATAGAATAAAGAGAGTAAATGTTGTGGAATAGGTATCAATTCTATCCAAATATTTTAAAATGTATATTAAACACACCCCATATCCCATTATATTAATTATGAACTGCAATTGACTTAAATGATTCTAAAATGTATGTGTTTTATTCATCAGGAAGTGGGGATTTAATTTTTTTACAGGTTTTAATAAGTTTAACATTAATTTGACTCCTTTTGAAACTCCCCAAGAAACTTAATTCAGGAGCAGTTCTTATAAAATTAATTCAGAAAGAAAGTTATTCTTGAATGATATTAAGAATTCATAGTGAAAGAAAAAACACATTTAATATAATGTGAGAAGAAAGGAGAGAATAACTGTTAAGAAACCCACATTTAAAATGCAAATGAAAAAAATGCACTTACCCTTGGTCGCGTGCCCTTATTCGACTATGAGTTAAAATCTTGTCATAGTGAGCAGATGCAGATGCTTGTTCAAAAGAAGTCAAGAAAATAGTAGAAAAGGTGAGTAAGAAAAAGATCTTCATCTTTAGTCCTCTGTTGCTTCTGACAAGTCTAGAAGAGAGAACTGGCAAAGGGTCTGGAGAGCCGACAATTTATATACATGCTGGAAGGTGGTGGGAGGGAACTACAGGATCAACCTGAAACTTTGTACCACCCTCCTTAGAGCAGCTGCTTTGGCTGCCAGCTTCAGTAATCTAAATTAATACCATGCATTAGCAGCATAAACTGTTCTTTTTTTATCCCTGATTGACTAATTTCTTCCTCATTACAGAAGGCTTAGCATTTTATTCTGCTGACACAACAGCAGAAAAAGTTTGGGAAGTTTAGACTTTGACTTATGATTTGGTATTTTTAGCATTGAAGCATCCAGAAGTCAGGATCATTATGTGTGGCTTTGTTCAAACCCAGAGGAAGTTTCTTGCCATAAGAACTGCATTGCTTTCCTTTGTTTTCCATGTCCTCATAGTTATCAACTCTGAATTGTTTAACTAGTGAAGTTGGTGAAAGTTCCAAACAATAATCTACTGTCAATAATCTGGAACAGCTTTTATTGTCTTCAGGAAAAGAAGACCGTATTAACATACATTCTGATTATGAAGCAGTTGCACTATTAGTTTAAATATGTATTTTAATTCTAATAATAACACGTACTATTGCATAATGCTTTTATTTAGAGCTTTATGTAGTCATAGAAAAATCACCAAGTAACTGGAAATTTTAATATGTACCTACTTATACCCATTAGTTAGTTGCTGGAAGCCTCTCATGAAGCAAATAGAAAATATAATTCTGAGCTGCAAATGTGGGAACTGAGGCAGAAAAGTGAAGTGACAGTCTTAATGCTCCAGGGACAGTTGGTGTTTGAACTGCAATCTAGGAGTCTGCAATGTTCAAGTCAAGGAAAAAAATCTGCCATTCCCATAAAAGTGTTCCCATATGAATACAATTTCAAGGTATACTCTGTAGATCATTTCAGATCTTTGTGAAAATATATTGGTTTTCAAGACAGTACTTAGTTGTAGCTTATTCCTCCATATCAGGGAGAGTGGTTATGTGAATATGGGAATGGATGTGGAAAAGGATGCTGTATTGGGCTGACACACCTGGGACCAACCTCTCATTACAGAACAGAGAAAAATGGGACAACAAGCAGTGGCCAGAGACACTGGCTGTTTCCTATGTGCCATTATAGGTGAGGATTATAACTAGGCATAGGTATATAGGCATTTAATGATTAAGGGCATATCTTACATAACCATGGTACTTCATGGTTTCTAAGGTTAAGGACATTTGGTTAAAAGCTAGAAAAACTTTTTTTTTTTTTTTTTTTGTACTTCAACCTGTATCATCCTACATACAAATGACTCAAGATAGCTGATGGCTGTGTGTGAATTCAGGAAAACTCCATGCCTGAAATCATCACCTTCAGATAGCTCATGGAGGTGATGGGTGAACTATACGACATAGCATTAGAGGTTGTAGGAGAATGTCACTGCTGTGCTCCTTCTATTCATCTCAAAGCTTTTTACTTCCTTCTGGTCTTTGCAGAAAAATATTGCAAGAAATATCACCACTTAAATACCTAGCTATGGCATTTAGAGATGCTAATTAGCCTCAGTTGATTACCCTTTGCAGTTCTCATTCTACAAATGAAAAAAAAAATTAGAAGATAAACTGAAGTTACCATTAAAGAACCTTGATAAACTTGAGAAAGTCACAGCATTTTCCCAGTAGCCTGTATTTTCAGGAGTGTCACCCTCTTGAGTCTCCAACCTCTCAGCATAGCTCTTGTCCTCCTCTTCCACAATTAACTATGTAGCACCAAAAAATGAGTAAAACTTAATGCTGCTACACACACTGAGCTCCTGTCATTTACAAAGCTATGCACTGCAATTAAGGAACAAGGAACATGAACAGGGCAAGTATTTCCATATTTTTCCAGCTTTCTGATTGGTGAATCAGTTTCATATCACAGAGAACCCCATATTTATTGCATAATGTAGTTATCTCACTGAGAGTTGGAGTGAGTACTGAGAGAAGACTTTAATTCTTACACTGGTTGTTCTTATTAATAGTATCTTCTCTGTCACTGATTGTTTTTGATTATGATAGGAACTAAGCATAACAGCAACAAATAATAATCCTAAAACCATTCAGGTTTCTACTTCCATATAAGCAATGAACATTAATGTTAAAAAACTAGTCTTTCCACTTCAGAGGTATATAACAAATAAATAAATAAAAATCTGAACTATTGCTATGTTAAACTTAGTGTCAGATATGGTGGCAGAGGTGATAGGACAGCACAGAAAATGGTGTTAAATATGCAAATTGTTAATATGCAAATATTAAATAATCAGATTAAAGAATTGATATTAAACCTTTAGAAAACTTAGTGACTATCATCTATTTAATGATGCAAATGTTACTAAAAATGAGTAAGTACTGACATATATGTCAAGGAAATAAAATAGCATGAAGAAAAATAATGACCATAAGTGACTTTCTGAAAAATCTCTAAAATATTTAATAACTTGCTTTGGCAAGTGGTATTAAAAACGCAGAGGCCAGAATGGACAAAGCTCACCTCTGTCTAGACAATTTTGAAAATCTTCAAATGATGGAAACTGCACCCACTTATCATTTAAAAACTTATGGAAGAAAAAAAGCATCAAGAAGAAAAAAACAGACCAACTACATGAATGTTATTCCACATTTATGTTTACGTTATCCTGGATATAAAAACAAATAACGAAGCCAGGCCCCTTATTTATTTATTTACTTTGCCTGTGACATAATAGCTTGCTGAATAGCATACCAGAGTTACCATTTTCAAATTTTCAAGCTAACACACTGTTCAGGTTTACCCACAGTTTTTTCACCTGTGATCATTAATATTTAATTTTAGTCTTTACTTAGTAAGGTGGCTATCCCACTAAGTTTTCTCTTCCTTTGAATAAATGTTTTGTACAATATAATACTTACTAAGAGATGTGGTGTTGAAAATCTAACTAAATATGTAGAAAATATAAATTGCATAAAACAGAGAATTATATCTAACAATTATTGTAGTAATAGAAAATTTTGTCATCTGCATCAGAAGAAACCTATCCAAAGAAATAAATAGGACAAGTATGGAACAAGTATTGATTTTTATCTTCCACAAACTATGTACATGTGCAATATCAGAAAGAAAAGTTCTTCTAATTTCTGAATATTGTTACTTGTATTTCTCTAGAGACCTCTAGTGGAGAGAACTCTGTAAAGGTCGTTTCCTCAAAGCTGCAGTGTTTACACTAAGAATTTATTTTATGGAGAAGCAATGTTGCACTGTTCCTAAAGACGCTTAGTTTCTTTACGTCACAAGAATCTTTGCTTTCGAATACTTAGGAGTTTGAAGAAGCCTTTACGATGTAAATGCTTGAAGTGACAAGAACATGTTTTTTAATCACTTGTCACTAGTTCTACTGATGACATGCAAAAATTTAGCAAATGAGAGTGGTGGCAGAGCAAGTTTTTCTAATACACTTCCCCCAGTCAAAAACTGCCGACATTGAAGATCATTTACAGTGTATGTGACATTATACATATTCTGCTTCTCTATTTTATAGACACTTGATGTGTTTAGTTTTTTGTGTGTGTGTGTGCTCAGCAAAAAGAGCAAATGGGTAAGAAAGTTTTAAGATGAAAAGGTTTAAGATGACTAAGGTTTCCTTGTATACTTCAATTCAGCAAATCTGGGAGGTCTGACATTAAGTTCACATAGAGAACCACTCGTGAAAAGCAGAATCAGTTTAATTCAGTAAGAATTTATACCTTCTAGTGATTTAGACCAGACAATTAAAAAACAAGCAAACAAAAATAAAAATGTACAGAGAACAATAAGCGTGGCTACCAAAACAAACTACCAAAGAGAGATCCCAAGTGTAGTAAAGAGCCCAACAATGCTGAAACCAAATGCAGTTTCCACACAGTTTTATACTAGCCAGGGTTGTAAAATATCAAATAGTGATAAGAGGCCTTGATAGTCACATGGATCCACAGAAACAAAAAGCTATTAAGAAAATTAATACTAGTAATAAATAAATAACCTTAAGGGAAATGTTGTAAATAATAAAATTGACCTTGGTTTGACTGAAGGCAAGAGCCAATATGGTAAGTGTTTTTGCAAGTGGATGGATTATCCCCAAAACATTTACTACAGGATTTCTGTCATGTGTGGCAAAGGTTTGCTGCTGTCAGCTCTTTCCTTTTCATACCTGTTTGAGTGAATATGAATTAATATCCAACTACAACAACAAATGAAAAAAAAAAAAAAGAAAAAAAAAAGAAAAAAGAAAAAAAGAGAGAGACTTAAAAGAGAAAATAAACCTTATTAAAGTAAGTGGGAAAGATTTAATGGTGGGTCCTGTACAAAAGATGATGATGTGTGCATGGGCTGATTGCTATAGTCAGGCTTGCTGGAAAATTAAAATAGTCCTCCACAGTCACCAGTATTTATATGCTAATAAACCTCCACGTTACCTGCTTT